GATCTTGGAGGGTAGCAGCTAGTGCCTCTTCGGCACACTTGATGGCTTTTTGTAAGTTTCTAAAGTCTCCCATCTGCTCAAACATCACAGAGAGCATATTTCCTAAGTTATTAAGTATAAGTGCTCTAGCTGGGTGATCCTGAGGGGTAGCAGCTAGTGCTTCTTCGGTGTGCTTGATGGCTTTCTGAAGGTCTTCAAGGTCTCCTATCCGCTTAAACCTCCTAAGAAGGCAATTTCCCAGGTTATTGTGTCTATCTGCTCGATTTGGGTGATCTAGAGGGGTAGCAGCTAGTGCGTCTTCGCCATGCTTGATGGCTTTTTGAAGGTCTCCAAGGTCTCCTATCCGGTCAAACCTCGCTAACAACCAGACCCCCAAGTTATTATGCCTGACCAATCGGTTGGGGTGATTTTGAGGAGTATTAGCTATTGCCTCTTCGCCGTACTTGATCGCTTTTTGTAGCTCTCCTAGGCCTCCTGTCCGCTCAAACCTTCTGTACAATATCGCTCCAAGGCCTGCAAGTGCGCAGGTATTTTCCGGGTCGCCGGTGGGGGTCCGTTCTACTACTTCCTCACTTATCCTTGTACCTAATTCCAAATCTCTTATGTCACCAAGCCGCTCAAATCTTTCTCTCAAAAGGAAGCTCCACGTATTTAGCATATTATCGCGGACGGGCCCCCTTAAAGGATATACTTCGATGGCATTTTCCACCCGAATAATTGCCTCATTGAGGTCAGTTAAGTCACCTAGCCGCTCGTATCTTCTGTAAGAATCTCCACCTAGAAATCTGTGCTCGTTGTGTATGCTCTCTAGGTGACGCCGTATGGCGAGGATGTCGCTGCATGCGGCCCCATAGTTGGTCATTTTCTGTGGTCTTTTGTCTATTTCCTCCACTGCCCACATCCATGCCATGTCGAGATCCACTTCATCATCGGTGTGCTCAAATTTCTTCCCAAACATTTTGCGCAGCCTAGCCGACAAAACAAGTCTATCCAAGTGGCAAGATGTCGTTTTAGTAATTGCCCTTTCTGCTAGCGCAATTGCCCGATTGAGGAGGTCAATGTCGAGGGTTTTCTGGTATTGAGAAAAGAGTGCATCGCTAGCTTCTATCATGTCACCCAGATCTTGCTGCCGCCCAGAGACTCCAGGATCTTGACCCCGTGTTCCACCCCCAGAGCCTCCTGTGTCCCCTGCACCAGGTGTCTCCACCATCTCTTGTCCGAAAATTGTGCTGGAATGTGGGGTATTCCTCCTGGCTTTTCTTACTTTCACTTCAGTTGGACACTCTGCTGTGTATGATCAAACGGCGCTTGGTGAGATGAACTTGATAATTAACTGGGGCAATTAGCACAGCTCAAGATAAAGACTAGGTATTCTCCCGCAATACCTTATCACGTTCAGGTATCCCGCATTCCGGGTTTCTAAAGACAAACACCTTCCTCGACAGGCACAGCCTCTCGCCTCCGTGTTCGTCCCCTGGTCGCTCGGTTTAAGGCCCCGTTCCTAAACTTTGAGTTCTTGTGTAAGAAACACACAAAGTCAGTGTATGCTCGCTGAGAAAAGTTCTTTGACTTTAACCTTACCTATTCTGGCCTGGTGGCGTTCCTTTCTCCCGTAGAAGCTTCTTGCTCAAATTTCTCCGCCTCTCCTAGATTTCTATTTCTCTTGCAGGTAAATTCAGGATTGGCGGGGAAATCGCTGCGCCGTACCGTAGGTGGGAGTTCAACGTGTGATAGTTAGTTGTGTAGTATGAAGGGTTCCCGTACTTTAGACTTAATAGCCAGGGTGGTAAGCTATCATATCCACTGCACGAAGCTCGGGCGGCTTGCTTGGGAATTGGCACAAAGGGCAGGCTTGAGGTATGAGCTGTGTCTTTTGCACAGCGAGCCTCCTTTGATATGATACATTTATACTCCGGGATGCATGCAAGGGTCTGGGGTCTACCACTCGTACATGCTGCGTCTTGACTTATCCACCCGCTACCCTGCCTTGTCTATTATCCCCGGGAATATTCTGTGCTGGCTGCGGAGGCTATGGCTGCACGCTAAAACCCCATCCTCGTGTGCTGCACTTTACCCCGCGTCTGGAATACTCTGGGAAGTCACCTCCTGGAGGATCCTGATTCCCGGAACCCTTCTGCACTTGAACTGCAGGGGTATCTCTCACCGCTGCGACATCGCAGCTAGTCTTGATAGACAGCTGCCTCTCGCTTCGCCTCCTGTGCGGCTCAGCCTCATGACCTGGATTTTCTTATGTACCACATCAATGATCTGCACGACCGCAGTACTCGAGTACCACTACTGGCAGCGAAGAGGCCGGGAAGTTTTTCCCCATCGCGGCTCTCCACACTTGGTGAAAATCATATGCGTGGTTGGACACATGCAGGTTCAGGAACATCTGTCTTACTAGCATGGCGGTTTAGCCAGTCCTGTGTGTTGACTCAGCCTTCCAGGAGGACTGTTTTGGGCACCGGACTCCCCCCTAAGCGGCCGCAGATGCGAAAACTCTTTCCGGAAGTACAGTACGAGTCCAGCCGAGCAGCTAGGAGAATGAAGCAATTGCCTCCGATACAGGCATAACACCATTCGGACATGATTAGGAAATTCTCCCTCGCCCTCCTTTGATGGCTTACGTTGTCTTCACGGATTTATCTCTGAGTGAAAAACTCTTGGCATTGAGGCTCAAGATAACCTCCTCCACTTTTTCAACGTAGATCCTCTCGGCCACCAGGCAACCTCAAATAGGGACGAAATAGCAAAAATTTAAGGTGTCAAAAGCAGGGATTATGTTGATCCCTAGATAAGTGTTGTGGAAAGAAAGACGGTATTTTAGGCCTCAAAAATCCAAGCCTCCTGCATTAGAATCTAGTTTTTAGGGTACGTACCGTAAAAACTCGTTAAATCAGCTATCTGGGATCGGGGCTTGGCTATTGCGCGCGCATGGGGTGTGTAAATTAGCATCACAAGACTAAGCCAGAATAGGGTTAGCAGGGCAGGTTAACCGTGATGCGTATACGAATTAATGAGAGTTACCCAGTTCAGCGTGTCCAAGCAGAGTACGGTACTGGACTCGAACACAAGTGCAAGGGTAAACTTCGCCCCAAGTATATCTTGAGTTTTTGGGTGGTAGTATTATTGGTGACTCCCCATCCATGCACGACTTTTCCAGAAAGTCGGTTAGAGTGACGGGCAAGGTTCTTCGCGGTGAGAGCTTCCGGCAGATAGTCTCCCACCGCTTAGAAATGAGAAAGTGCACGTCAAGGTGACTAGCTCGGATGTGTCGTCCATCCGAGGGACGGGTTTTTTTTTCGTTTCTGCAGTACTCGAGTAGAAAGCCAGGCTGAATAAGCGCCTCCCATGCTGCAGAACCAAAATGCCGCGCAGCTCGGCTCGCGCATGCTAGGCTGGTCCTCCTCGCCCCCGCGACCCACTTCCCATCGCCCAGATCTTCTCGTACCAATCATTTGACAGCCTGGTCCACGCTCTCAAGTACTCGTACAATGCACGCCATCAAGCATCACGCTCTATCACATCCCACTCTTTGACTCACTTTGCGCCGCATGCGGTGAACATAGGGGGGTACGCGCCTAAGTTTTGTATGTCCCACAGGCGAGGTTTGCTGACCTTAGCCCCTGTGGAACATACTTAACTTAGGCGCAGTACCTCCGTACCCATGGCCCACGTTCCCGTGAGTGACCGCGTCCTACGCATAGAGAAGACACGGGCTGTTAGCTTACAGGGCTGGGGAAAATGGGGGATAAGTTTCCGTATCTGGTGAAAGTGTCCGCCGTTCACCGCAATCAATGTCGCATACTGGTTCCACTCATCTTTCAGTCTTGGTTGTAATCTGGGCTCTCCCGTGATGCAGTTGGCGTCATGACATGGGAAATTGATCCTGGTTCTTTGGGTCTGCCGGTACCATCGCCTTGTAAACCATACTGCTAGTCTTCGGCCCAGCCGCAGGAACACGAACATTAGTGGGGGGTATAGATCGAAGGTATTTGCCATTCAATTGCATTGATTAACGTCCAGTACTTCATCCTACGGAGGTACAGCCTATGGTGCCCCGGCGCCTACCGTATTCCGGTAGAGTACGAGTACACCTACAGATCCCACTACATGCTCGGGGATGTTGATCTTGGCGCTACCCCTGACCCTTCGCTAGTTAGTGTTCGACTGCCATGGTGCTTGGGCGTTGCTCTTGATGGTATACCGGTAGAGTATATCTCTGCGCCTTCTGCTTCCCGGAATCTAGCATCTTTTCTTCGGGTAGAAGGTATAAACAGCCGGTGTAGATTAGGTGGTTGGTTATGTTGGTTTTATAGCCGTTTGGAGTGTACGGGTACTTGGGATTTACTCCGCCACTGATATCGGTCTAGGAACCTCAGCCTACGAGTACGATCTAGGGCCCGTTTACCTACAGACGGCCGTCTCGTGCGCGTTGACGGCACTCACCGTCAAAGGGGTCCTAACGGTCGGCAGCGTCAGGGGCTGAATTCTCACTCCCCCTTTACCTAACGCACCTCTTTCAGTACACCATCTACCCCACCATCCTACCATGAATCAAAGATTTTACGTGGCACGATGGAGCTTTGAACTCCTAATTCCTAACAGCCTCTCCCTTTCCACTATTTCTGACCGGTTAAAATATTAAACCCAACTATCCTCTAAGTACAACCTACGGGTACAATGAATGGCTCCTCGCAAGCGAAAAACTCTTTCTGCCCCCCCTAGTGGCCCCCCAGTTGCTTCGACACAATAGCCCAAATCTGCCAAGCCGCCACCCAAACAAAAAAAAAAAAGGCCTGAGAAAGTTTGGATATTTTTATTATCCTAGAGGGTGGTCGACATTAGTGCAAAGAAAGCAGAACTCATTGCCAGTGGTAGTATGGTTGCGGGCGTGATGGGTCCCA